CGTAGCTTTATTTCCCTAAACGAGCTACCTGGGGTTTGGGTGTTAGAACGCACGAGACGACCCCGACGCAGATCTAAGCCGGTGGCCCTCGGACGGCAAAATATGATTGCAGCGGCACGTCTTCTGGCCATTTGGGGTGCATTTGCATGTGACTGCGTGAATCATCGCTTCCACTCCATGCCGTGGGGCTACGCTGTGGAGCGCTGCTGGGGCCTATTGTTGGGGACACGGCTGTAGCCGCGCCTGGAACGCCGCACAGGTTAGTGTGTTACACCGATAATTACTGAAATGACCTGCAGCTGTCCTCCGTGGCGGTACAGGCCAGAGGCCATTGCGGTGGTGGTCAGGCTCGTGCCCCCGAGGTCACTGAGAGGGGCAGCCCATGATAGATTGCTTGTCGGTAGAAAAGGCACTCATTGGCATTCTGATTCTGCGTAAGACCGATGTTTCAAAACCGAACACGCGAAGTGGCAGCGCTGGCCTTACCGGTCTCGCCGCCTCTCTTGTAAAGACGCCGTCCAAATTGTTCGGTGATCGATCGCGCCAGAATAACGCCCATTAACGTCGGCGTCGTTTAGAGTTGCGCCACCTGGCAGCCGCTGGAGGCGTGCGGGTCAACTCCGCTCCCGCCTCCAGCCTGACCCGCTCCCGGCGGGGTCCACCCCGGCGCCCGCCTTCAGCCTGACCCGCTCTCGGCGGCGGGTCTGCCCCGGCGCCCGCCTCCAGCCTGACCGACTGCCGGCAGCGGCTGCAGCCCGCTCCCGCCGCCCCGCCGCCGCCGCCGCCGCCGCCACCGCCGGCGGCCAGTTCACCAGACCCATCGCGGAGAGCGCGGCCGAAACCGGCTCCGGAGTCCGCCGGCCCACCTGTCGGCGGCCGGCAACGGTCGGCACCCGGCAGGGGGAGGGGGCGCTGACAGCAACGGCACGGGTCGCTGCCGCGCCGCCGTGCGCCTCTCGTCTGTTCCGAGCGGTAGGCGGCGCGTGGCCGGCCGCCACACAACAGCCGCGGCCCGCTAGAGAGCGGCCGTTCCACGACGCGCTGGAGCGGCGGCGGCGTGCCGTTGCCGGGTGGCGGCCAGATCGGCCTCCGGCCACCGGAGACGCCCCGGACGCCGGCACGCGTGTCGCCAGTGCCTCATTGAAATACCGCACGACATTTCGACATTTCGACATTTCGACGCAACATTCTGAGGCCGGATCGAAGGGAAAGTCCCGTCATTTTTGGACACATCGTATATTCGCTTCAGCGACGATCGCCCGCGGTACGGAATCGTTCCAGAGGCCGGTACTGACGCCTGACGACTACGAACAGAAACGCGCAGAGAGGTTGTCATGTTCCTCAGCCCGTGTGTCTCAAGTGTGAGTAGGGAGTTATCGGGAACAACAGCGATGACGCACACATTGTACTTTCGCCACGAGTCCCGACGTTTCTAGCGGCGTTCCTGGGTCGGGTGTCCGGCATCTCCTGGGGTATCTCCGAGTCGGTGGTCGGCCGGCCGGCGCGCTGGCCAGACGTGAGCGGCGAAAGCTGCGCGGGTCAGTGGGTCACGCGGCGGCCCCACGCCCCCTGCCCTCGGCCGAACGGTGCCGTCTCAGTCTGGGCAGCGCCGGCGGCCTGGCACGTGCCCGCTGCAGCGGCGCCTCACCCGGCAGCCGCCCGGCCACATCGGCAGCGGCGCTGGCCGCCTCGGTCAGCCGAACGGCCGAGGGCGCGGCGGTAGAGGAGTGCTGGTCGCCTCGGTCAGCTGAACGGCCGAGGGCGCGGCGGTAGAGGAGTGCTGGTCGCCTCGGTCAGCTGAACGGCCGAGGGCGCGGCGGTAGAGGAGTGCTGGTCGCCTCGGTCAGCTGAACGGCCGAGGGCGCGGCGGTAGAGGAGTGCTGGTCGCCTCGGTCAGCTGAACGGCCGAGGGCGCGGCGGTAGAGGAGTGCTGGTCGCCTCGGTCAGCTGAACGGCCGAGGGCGCGGGGTAGAGGAGTGCTGGTCGCCTCGGTCAGCTGAACGGCCGAGGGCGCGGCGGTAGAGGAGTGCTGGTCGCCTCGGTCAGCTGAACGGCCGAGGGCGCGGCGGTAGAGGAGTGCTGGTCGCCTCGGTGATACACCGACCAGGGTTTAAAGCGGGGCTTCCGTCCAGCACGTGTTTTGCAAGGATCTTGTTTGCTCCCAAACATGTATTTACACATTCACAAGTCAGATTTCAGGCGGTTCATCTGCCTAGAGACGTAAGTCTAAACGACTAGACAAATGGAAGGACAGATTGGGAGATGCTTTTGCATAAAACTTACGGTACCCACTTCTGTCGTTTGCGGCTCCCAGAGATATAATCTTTCTCAACCTTTCCTGGTAAGCTTGCTTTTGCCGCTGTCATTCAGTGAGAAACAAAAGCACGTAACAAGTGTCTCTAATGGAGCTTGCGAGACGTGGGACAGCTGACGCCACGGCGGCGCTGCGTCAGGGTCGTGAGAGCCACGCTGACGCAATTCGCGTGCACTATTGGCTCACTTGCCTGCAACTGCGCTGATTAATAGGTCAAAGTTTGAGCGAAAGGCTTGGACCCGTCCCGCTCCCGGACAGCAGCACCAGCACTGCCTTCGTGCAGCAGCCGGCGCCGGAGGACACATTCCCGCGTCTCCGGTGAGCTCTTTGTCTCTGGCGCCGGCGATGGCGCCCGAGCCAGTGCAGCTGGGCGAGCGACGCCTGCAAAACGTGCCGTCACCTGTGGCGGCTGCTCACGCCGGTCACTGGCCATGGTCCCACTGGCCGACCCAGTTCCCCTGAAAATGGGGTAAGCCGGCTGCTCGGTCAGCCACACAGACCGGCGACTACCGGCTGGGAGTGGCCGGCTCTGGCCAGCCATGGATCGGTCAGGCTCGCGGTGACGTCGTGACGTCATCGGTGGGACCGGCGCAGGGGTCAGCGTGCGGCGCCTGCCGAGTCATTGTCCCGCCAGCTGAGATGTCACGCGCCACCAGCGCCGCCAGGACGGCGCTCCGAGAGGCGCGAGACCAAGGTTCGGCTGGGGCAGCCTCTCCTGCCAGCCGGCCGCTCCAGAACACCCAGATAGCTGCATGAGGTATTCGGTATATTGCAACAGGTTCCAACGCCAATAAACGCTCCAGCTGTTGTTAAGCACAACCGACCGCTGTGTGTGTCCATCCTCTTGCCCCTCCAGAGTGTTACCGGCCAGGCGGACGGTGGCTGTGTTACGCAGCCAACACCACGTGCCCCAGTCAGTCAGTCAGTCGCAGAGCGCGGGACAGGACGCGGGCGTCGGCGAGACAACGGAGAACGGGCCGTCGGACTCGCTTTGTGCCGCAGACCGGTCATGGGCGACCCCAGCCCGACCGGCGCCGCATAACGGCCCGTGCTCCCAGCCGGACAGAATGGTGCGCCGAGAGGAAAAACAAGCCGCACGGTGGCGGCCGCGCTCGGCACCGCACCATGGCGTCGCAGCCGAGCTGCGCGCCAGCGGCAGCTGCCTGCCGGCGGCCGCCTGCCAGCGCCGAAAGTCGGCGCTGGAGCTGGTGGCAAACGTCACGCGCAGACGCAAGCAGCAGGTGCATGACCTTCCTGCCGAACTGACACACAGCTGGCTATCTGATCGGCGGCGGCGCACAGCTGGCCAAAGACATCCCATGGGGTCTGGGTTGTAGTTTCGGCGTGCCTTTGCCTATTGTGCCCTCGCCTTTACCTTTGCCTCGCGGCGTATCGTCTACGTTCACGACCATTTGTGAAGACGCGTTGCATCGGCGTTTTCTCTGCACCAAGGCATTGCAAAACGGGGGTCAGCTGACACAAATACCCAGCAGGACTTCAGCACAGCCACATATTCACTGGTTCCAACTGGTGAGTGGATGTAGGACCAGATGGCCGATGAGATCTCGGAGAAGCCCATAGTCGGTGGACCCATTAACGATAATTTTGCTGAACAGGTACACTGGTTTGCTCAGATATCGGAGGCTAGCGCTATGATGCTTCTGACTGTCCGAGA